ACAGTAACTGTAGTGTAAAAAGGCACATGCCTTTCTACATTGAAAATATCACAAACATACGTCATAATAATGGAAGACACGAAATAGCTGTGCTGGAAGCTGTAGTTTAAATCACTGTTTGTCTTGTTTGTTCAGCTCTTCGAATTCCCTCTGGAGTTCAGTTTGGTCAGCTTGTCAAAAGCTTCATTTTTTCCGCCGCGGCTGATTTATCCAGAAAATACAAAATAGAATAAATGGAAATGTAAATGAAAAGAACAAGTGTGAAGAAAACGTTAAAAGCAGTCGAAACACGACAAGCATTGCTGAGGAGTGGGGAATCGGTTGTACAGTAATCCGTACAAGTGTTTGTGTTTGCGCGGACAGCTTAGAATATTAGTTGTCAAGAGGTGCTCTCCCACTCTGGAAAAGCAAACGCATGCAGAGAATCGTCAATGGAAGGATAATGGAGTGCACAAATGTTGCTTCTTTTGTTCAGAGGTTGCGCAGTAATTTATCTACCAACTTACCTAATATTTATCTTGGATTAATACACTTGAAATAAACGGAAATCATACAAATAAAAAAAACTGTTGTGTGGACGGTGCACCTTTCCTGCATTTTACTGATAAAACTAGTTTCCATTCTCTGGTACCAGCAAAGTTTTGAACACTGTAAATGCCGTAAATTTTGTGTCGAAGAATTTATGAATGCCAAAAATGAAGGCTTATAGAGCAGTAACTACATGTGCATCTTTGTATATTAAAATGTGCGCTACGTAATACTTCGAATCATTACTCGGCGCTGCAGTTAGAGTCGAAATGTTATACTAGAATCTCTTTATCAGTATGTTTAATTGGTAGAATTAATCCCGGAAAAACAGCATTCGGCTAGTAAAATGGCGTCTAGAACGCAGCGAAGACGTTTAAAGAGGGTAGAAGTCTGAACCCTTTGAAGTCTTGATTTTTTTTAATGTAGGACTGGGAAAGCTTCTGAGATCCTTCATGAAAATTTATACCCGTTAGAAGATGAAGTTTGGGTTGTTCTTTTTTGGGTTAGTGGTGTGTTTTATCCATATTCCTTTTTAAACGGTTTACTAAAACCATAAAAAAAAGCGGGAACCAGGAAAGCCTAGATATGTTTTGTTTCAAAGGAACCCTTCTGCACTAGAATTATGAACCGGTGGGAGCGAGATACTGAGTGCTGCTGTTTATATTTGCTCGAGGTATAGTCTACGGAAGGCCGCGTTATTGGCCTTTTTTTGTGGTGCATGGTGCTTTTTGTTATACTTTTTGTTATTGGGTAGCATCGGTGGTTACTATGGCCAGAAATAGCGCGCATCTAATTCAGCTGAAGTGACGATGGTAGGTCCTCAGTATTAGAAAATTACATGATTTTTGGCGAAATTGAATCGGAAGAAAAAAAAAACTTACTCTGCTTTCATATCGGTTTCCATACTTCTTCCGCTACGTCCAGTCGCTTAACATTCAGGAAAAATTAAAAAAGTATTTGAAGGATGCCTGAAATTATATTTATTCCAGCGTATCCAACAGCGTCTAACGACATCAATTAAGCGAGCTGCACAAGGTGGGGATCGTTGGATAAAGCCAAGATTTACCCGCAAAGGGACGCGTGTCGCAAATCAGGTTTGTAAACAGTTAATCCCGTTTGTTTAGAGATAATTTGTTCGTGTAAACTGTCTTAAACCGGGGCAGATATTCATTTTAAATATTGAAATTTTAAAGTTCGATAGATTTTCAAGTAAAAATTCGTAACCGCCGCCATATTTATTTTCCATAAAAGGCTTGGGCACTCAGAAATATTCCAAGAGTATCAAGTGCCGGCAGAAAGCACCTGCAGACAGAAGCTGTCGATGGCTTCTTTTTTCGAGAGTTGCTTAGGAACAAGCTTAAAATCTGAAGGAAATCCGTTTGAAACAGGCATTCATTAACTGCAGGGTGTTGTAGAACTGGATGTTTTTGCTTGCCTTATGAATTTCACTGTCAGGTTTGTTGTAGCAATTAACTGAAGACCACAATTTAATTCTGCTCGCAAAAAACCTTTCACATTTCGTTTATTTATTTAGTTATTTTGATGCTGTTACATGCAAGAGCGTCAAAACTGCCATGAGCTTGCTTTTAAGCAATCTTCAGAAGTTGGAGTCATCGACGGCCTTATCAGCGAATAACTTTTGTAGATAGAGCATCACAGACTGAGTTACTCTCGAATATTCACGATAATCATAATCATGTTGAGTGAACAAAGAATACAGTAGCGCATTTGTCCATTTATCTCATTACATAACTATGGAGCGAGGAATGCTTAGCGTTTCTCTTCATGACCATACTACGAGCAGTCCGTTAAGTCGTATACACTCCTATTTAGTTCCGCAACTGAACTTGGTCACTACAAGGGTTGTGGAACGCGAATATCACTGCAGCTACGCAGCAAAATCCGATTTGCAAGGCATTTGCTTGCCATGCCAGCTACAAACGGCAGTCGTATCTTAGCGACTGGCGCCTGAGAGGGAATAAACGACCACTTAGCAGCCTCCGAAGGGATAGTGCACATGCATCGAATGGTGGCTCAATATTAAGCGCGGGAGCGAAAGGACTAGCATAGCTGCCCTGATGTGTGGATTATCTTAGTTACATCATTGACATGAGATCCTCACATCCATTGTCCGGAGGTTTGGTATCCTTGGCTTAATCACTGTTGGCGAGCTAATTTTAATAGCAGACATTATACAGTCTTTCAGAGCATGAAACTTGTATTATTACGGGTGTTAGCCCAAATTCCACTCTGTGAAAATGTCTTCACTCCATCTCATTCCTGATAATTTTTTTTAGCTAACATGCTCCAAATGCTCCTTTTATTGTGACACTGCCGTAGCATACAATACGCATATCGAGATGCATGGGGCAAAGTCGATTTTCACATGTTGTGTCTGCGACTATTCATCAATGACGAAGAACGTTGTTGATTTTCACGAAGCCAATCATCATTTGCGCGAGTCGCTTTCAACTTTGGCTAAGGTATTTTTTGACAGTTACTTGAACATTTTCATTTTAAAAAAGTGAAAAATTTATTGTGAATTTTTGAAGAATTTTTTGCTGCTGGAAAATATAACAGAAATTTAATAAGGCAAAGTTTATTTCTTTTAACATGCAAGCTGTAGTATTATCCATACTGCCCATTTTGAAAGTAATCGGTGATCGATTTTTGGCCTGTTGTGGGCATCATAAGGTCATTGACGAAGTTCTGAAGACTGCGCAAAAATAATTTTCCGCTGTTGTTATCCAAAATTATTTTCGAATAGTGAGTTGATTTTGTAAAAACAATGAAAAAACAAAAGTTAGCAATAAAAATAAAAATTTTTGCTATGGAAGAATGAAATTTGGAATTCAGTGTTAAATTGTTAGTGAAGTAAGAAAGCCAAGTCTTCCATCTTATTAAGATTATCGTCTTACCAAGTTTGTGCACAGGAGTGTTATGTGTGAGAGAACTCGAAAATTGGAGAGGGGAGGGGGGAGGTAGATTTCTGAAACAACCGAACAGTTAATTAGTAAGTACAATGTTATGTTCTCTTGACGCTCCTTTGTTTACTAGCAATGCAGAAGTGTAGGTCGGCGGGCATGGAGTAATACGAAGTATCACTGTTTTCACGTAATAGATCCAGAATTCCACTTCGCCGATGAGATAGTCATCCCACTCCCCC